CTCTCTCTCTCTCTCTCTCTCTCTCTCTCTCTCTCTCTCTCTCTCTCTCTCTCTCTCTCTCTCTCTCTCTCTCTCTCTCTCGATATCTTGGATCTTATACAAGGCCACAACTTGTGTTTTTATTATTTAAAAAAGAGAGATAAAGAGAGAGATTTAAAAATAAAACAGAATGATGGATGAAGATTGGTGTAGCCGACACCAATTATTTTAAAAAAAATTATAATGATGATGAATATTGTCAAAAAAAAGAAAAAAAAAAACTAAACTATGATATGACGATGACAAGAGAGAGAGAGGCTGTCTGGTTATTTAAGTTCATGTAAGAGGGCATTGTGGTCAACAAGCAACAATTTGGAGAGACTCTCTGTTTTTGGATCTAGGGAATTGCTCACATCATACGAAATAATGTCTTCCGCATTATTCGCTGGCTCAGCCTTTGTCTCACTCACTGTGCTCTTCACGTTTCAGATGTTTGCCTTCGCTGTTCACACAAACATCTTTTCTGCCATTTCAGAGTAGGAAAAGGCCTGAGATCTGAGCCCCCTCAGCTTTTCCTTTATACTTATCTGTTTCCAATCAATCATTATAATAATGCCCTTTAATTAATGCTTTTATATTTTTTGTTCTCATTATAAAGTTACCCCTTTCTTTTATCAAGCAAGAGAGAGAGAGAGGCCTTAGTTTTAGGGGTTGGGGCCTTAGTTTTTATGGTTGGAGAGAGAGAGAGAGACCTTAGTTTTTAGGGTTTGCATGACGCATGTGGACTACTGGTACGATTCTATCATATATGAACTTAAAATATTTGAAGTACACCACAGATTTATTTTTGTTTTATGTATTGTACTCTTTTGCTTGATATATTGGTTGTCTTTTAGGATAATAATAATAGTAGTAGTCATGTACCTTGCTGCATTTCCATCTTATAAATGGCCATCCTTTCAATAACTTTCCATATTATCATATGAGATACTTCTCTTGTGAAATTATAGTTGTACTATTTTTTTTTTCTTTTTTTCTTTTTTTCTTTTCAGCATATTATCCTTTCTAAAAGCTGGACATTTATTTACCCCAAACTTTCACTACGAATCTGTTTTCTCGGTTTTCACCTTTGGAAGGTATGCGTCTAAAAAGTATTCATGCTTGTATGTTATTTGTCCCCAAGGTTTCGAAAATGACGAACGGAACCGGCCGGTTCCGATTGAGAATAGTCAGGGCCAATCAAGTTTTGCCTAGATATCGAGAAAGAGCTGGTTCCTCTAAGTATCCGGCCGGTTTTGGCTGATTCTCTAATAGAATCGGTCACATTTGTCTGGGAACCCCTTCCATTTTATTTTTCAATATTTTTGCGTTTTTTTGTTCCGTAGTTTTTTTTTGTTTTATTCATCAGTGCACCAGGCCAGGTCCTCGATTTGGACCCCCAGTTTATATAATAGCATTTATTTTCCTTGGAAGGAAATATTATTCTACATTTATTTTCCTATCGAGTATAGAATAACATTTATTCCACTTTTGTGTTTATATCGTAACATTCTCATATGGTGATAAAACATGTATATATGTTTTAACCACTACGCAAAAACAACGACTATTAGTTGCATTTTTATAATAAGAAAAAGTATAGAATGAGACCATTTATCTTTGATACAAGGTGGTCATATTAATCTTGACCATTGGATGTGAAATTGGGTGGCTACAATTATTTTATTGACGAAGCTCAAACTACAAAAGAATTTTTCTCGAACTTTTTGACACATCCAAGCTATCAAATTTCACATAAAATGGTTGTAAAGAATTGTGACCGCATTGTATCAAAGGTAAATAGTCACACTGTATACAATCCCTTGGAATAAATGAGATCATAAGTTCTCTTACAACTGGTGTGCCAATTTTGTAGGCTACCCATTTGGGCCCAAAAATATGACAATTTAATTGCTATTGCTAAAAAGGCAGATATCCAAACCGGCCCCAAGGCCTATGTTTATAGTCACATTCAAAGTTTTAAAAGATGTTTATTTGGATCATAATTGTTTGATTTGGATCGAAAATCAATAAAGACCGAACCGGCTCCCACATATTTTGAAAATTAACCGATTAAAAAAAGAATTGGTTGATTCCCTAACAGAACTGTCCAGTTGTGCTAAAAAACTAGACCGACCCCAATTCCCTTATTTTATATAATTTTTTATTTTGGTCTAACACTTTGTTTTGATAATTTTTTAATTAAAAAAGGGGTAGGATGGCCCACTCCTCCCAATGATTGGGTGCCACAAGCCCACGTATGTTTGGGCTGCCCACACCCACAAACCCTGAACCCTGTGTCCCGAGCAAGGCTTCGAACGTCCCCGATGTGTGATACTAATGCTCATTTTTCACTGTACATTTTTTGTGAAGTGCCCACCCCAATTCTCCCTCTCTTGTATGGTTCAAGGTACTTCACCTCATATCTTTATAAAGAATGATCAGCCAGCCTTGTATTACTTTGCTGGAAAATGATTTGATAGGCCCTATCAAAATAAGTAAATCACCTCATAGCTTATCAAAAATTGCAATTCAAGTGTTGGGAAACCTTTAAATTGATCATCTCAGCTTGAACATATGGTTGTGCAAACAAATTATAATTTTAAATTCTAAAAGTAGTGTATGTGAAGAGCTTTAGGTTTTCTTGAAGAGATTAAGTGTCCATTTATTGATATGAATATACAAACTTGTCTTTTATAGACAAATTACATATGATAATAATAGACACTAAATCATAGACACCCATACTATACCGAGACTTACCATAAAATACAAGATATGATACCTACCTTTCCCATATATATTGATTACATATACACCTTCCATATTAACCTGATAGACAATATATATTTTCATTTCACAGTGTACATTGCAATAAATCATCTAGACCATCCATTTCGCCCTAAAGATAAGTGTTTACATATTCGCAAGATTTGTACCA